CCCCCCGCCCCCTCCCTGCTGGCGCCCCTGCTCACCAGCTGAGTAAATTTAATATTTTCTCCAAAAGCTACACACAGATATCTGCCTTTTAGTCCAACATTATGCACAGTTATGTTTCCTTTGTTTCTTTTGTATATTTCAGATTAAACCTGTTTTCCACATCTTATAACAGAATAACAGTCAGGTGGGGAGGAGGACAGCTGTAATCTCTGTCTTCAGTCCATCTCAGACCCTCAGTGGCAACTCTGAACCACTTAAGAGTCCTCTGGAGCAGTCTGAACTTTTCTTCAGAGTAACAGTGATTCTTACACTTAAGACTTTTGATAACTGGCACTTACACTTAAGTCTGAGAGTAGGAGCAAATCTAAGACATTTTCAGTAGGCTACTTAAGTCTAAAAATCCACTCTAAGAAGTTTTATAAATATGGGCCCAGATGTTTAGTATCTGGGGCCAGGCATAAATTATCGTAAAACATTTGGGAAGCTGGTAAAGACTAATTGCTCAAATCTTTTTATTTTATTTTATTTTTACATAATCCCTGATTTGGAGATACTGAAAAAAAAGTGTTTTGGGGATATCATACTTATTTAACAACTGGGCTAACGAAGCTAAAACAACCCTCAATATATACAAATCAGCAATAGTTAAATTTCTTTTCCATATTGCAATTGTACCATCTATAAATCCAGGTCTAAACGAAAGATTTTGACAGATTGGTGTACATATAGAGTCCTTGGGAATCTGATTGACTTCTTTAATCTGTTTTAGTATACACAATGTGTTCTTTAGGACAAAACTGATCTGAATTAGTTTGTCTGGTTTAAGACTGGAAAATAACCATGCACATATTTGTCTTTTTTTTTGTTCTCAGATTTTATTGTATGGTTGATCTGCTTCTCTTGTCTTTGTTTTGTGGACCTTGAGTCTGTTATAAAGTTTGATATACTGTACAGTATGTTACTATATCTAGGAGTTTCAAGTTGCAACCAGGAGGGGGTGCTATCCCCTTACTCACTACTAGAAGCACTATGTTTCCAGTAGACGACAGCTCTGGAATTTGCCACCCAATAGTACTTTTAAAAATCTAGAAAAACCAGGCCGCCTTTATCTGTTGATTTCTGAACATGAAATTTAAATGCTATGAAAGGTGATATAACTGAGTCTAACTTTTTGAAAAAAGAGGCAGGTAAATAGACAAGCACTGAAATAAATATAAAAATAAGCTATTTTAATGGCATTAACCGTTCCAGTCATCATTCAAGGTAAAATTTGCCATGCCTCAATAAATTATAAATACCATCAGTGAGCAGTGCTGAGCATGATGTGTATGTGTGTGTGTGTGTGTGTGTGTGTGTGTGTGTGTGTGTGTGTGTGTGTGTGTGTG